TTACTCTGAATTTAATATTGAGTTCTGCATAAATTGTGTTACGGAATCTTACATGAACCTCACAAGTTTTCATCTGCACGTGAATAAAAATTATTTAACTTATTGTTACTGCATACTTCATAGATTCTGAGATCCTCTGATGTTTTTCTGGTTTTTATTGTAGCATGATATTGATTTCCTGAGAGTTGGACCGGTTCACAAGATTCATTCGTCAATTTATAAGTACAGTGATTCAAAACTCAGTAAGAAATGTCAAAGTGTTGCAGATCTTTCACAACTCTACCAAAGCAAGGTAGTGTACTTTTATTAGCTCCTTTGTCGAGCGAAGCTTATCATATGAGTGATTGTTCGTGTCATCGTCGTCCGTGTCAACTTTTTACTTTTTCCACTTCTTGAAAACTATAAGCCTGAATGCTTTGATACTTGGTGTATATGTACCGTGGGTAGACCTCTCTTAGATTTGTTCATTTAATGATGATATCTTCAATTCTCTAATTTTGATAAATATTTTTGTAATTTTTGGTAAAAAGTGATATTTTTCGACTTCTTGTTAAAAACAGCAGGCCCGATTGCTTTGATACTATACTGATTGTTTTCATTTTCTAAAATGAAAAATGCTACAAGAGGGAAACACTGAACGTATCTGCAGTGACACAAGCAAAGGTTCAACACAACTGGTCAAAGAGTTGTATACATCATTGCTCAAAGAGTTTTTCACATTGTTTTAAGAGTTCAACAAATTGATCGGAGAGTTCCACATATTATAGTTTAACACATGATTGATCAAATGAAAGTTTGTCACAAATGTTCAGGCAAACGTTGAGTGATGTTATTGGTGCACAAGGAGTCCAGGAATTCGCTCCAGTGTTGTTGTTGGTGTCTGTATATACACTTGATAGGCATCACTGCGCCACCTTCCAAGACATTTAATAAGCCAGTCAGGTATGTTCCCAGCGGCTGCCGTGGTGGCTGCCCCACTTCGGAAACTGTGGCTGGTGTACTGTGTGATGTTAGGCTGTCCCGATTGCGCAAGCAGTTGCTGAAGTATGTGGGTAAGCTTCTGTCGTGTGAGGTAGCAGCCGTCAGCAAATTGAAATGCTGGGCCCATTGGTTGTTGAGCAGTAATGTTCTTATAACGGCGATATGCTCGCACCACACGTACCGATGAACCGGATGCGCCAATTGTGATGTCTTGACCACGTCTGAACGGGTCAGTCTTAGATGCCTTGATGTGAATGATAAGAATGTTTCGAGCATTGTCCAAATTAATGTCGGAATGTAA